AAATCAAATTCCGGTCAACTCTTTCAACTTAAGCTTCCAACCTTGGGACTACGTGTCCCAGTTCATTCTAAAACTTGTCCAAAACCAATACAACCACCCCGGCAAGTCACATACCCATAAATGAACATAGAAGAAGTGATAAATAGGGGAATGGGGCTACAATACACAAAACGACCAGCCGGGTCGTTACATGTTCCGTATTTTAGATAGCGTAATTTTGTCCAAACATGTATTTCCGGACTAAGAAGTGACTATTTCGCCAACACAATTTAAAATATGACTAAGCTCTAATAGTCGACCTAAAAAGTGGCTAGATACCAAGATCATCCTTGAAAAAGAGACATTAGATATGGGTCTCAAATTGGTCAAAAACTCGCCTCATTATGTTTTCTTCCTTTTTTCCCCCTCAATTTGATAACGCAATTCATCTTTTTCTATTTTAGACTGCTCCAAAATTTATCTTTTTAGAAATATCAACATTATACCATTACTCTTCAATCAAAAAGTAAGTTAAACTCTAACCAAATCCTGTCCATGAATTTGCCTACCTCACTAATCCAACGGATAACTCAATTCTATAACCCCACTTACCCAATACTCCCTAATTGTATCATTTGGGGCGACACCTTATCAGCCATTTTCTAAGTTAGCTCGTGCTACAAAATGCTAACTAAATCCAATGAATTACCAAATCATCACGGGTGGATATGGCAATTGCGTACATTACCAAAAATCAAAACATCTTTTTGGATGCTTAGTCACTCACGATTGCCCACACAACATTACCTACCTAGACTAAGAATCTTTCCATCCAATATTTGTACTATATGTCAACAAGAAGCAAAAATTATCCCCCATATCTTCTTCAAATGCGTCAATACTAAAAAATGTTGATTTGATCTACAACTGAAACTTTTAATCCAAAAAATTCCCTACGAGGAGGCACCCACCCATGTTTGGCTTAAAAAGCTATTATGCTAGACAAGGACAACTCCTATAAATCCATACCTCATCATACACTTATTCCTTATACTTTGGCATTTATGGAAAACGCGCAACAAGAACTGTTTTGAAAATGTTAAAAATAACACCCAACCATCAATTATATATCATCAAGCCTTTGAATTTTACTACCTTACAAATTCTAATAAGGCCAAGAATTCTATAATTCCCTTACACCTCAAATGGGAACCCCAACCAAAATGTTTTTTTAAGCTTAACACGGATGGGGCTATAAAACACCCTCATACTTGGGCCGGTTTTGATGGAGTTATCAGGGACGACAAAGGGAATTGGGTAATGGGATATGCAGGTAATATAGAAGCCACTACAGTGGTCCATATTGAAACAGTGGGATTGTTGCGTGGATTACAACTAGCCTTCGCTCATAACCTTACACCACTGGAAATCAATTTGGATGCTGCATAGGTAATTACAAGTCTATGTAGCACCTTTATCAATTCATATATACTTAATGATTGCAGGTACCTGATCCACCAGCTGGGTGATCCACTACTATAACATGCTTACAGGGAGCAAAGCACAGTAGCAGACCAGCTAGCTCATTTTGGCATGGAACTAAAAGGGAGCAACATCACATTTTTGGAACAACTACTACCTTTTGTTATGGCAAACCTAGAAGCTGATAAGTTGGGGCTTCAATGTATACGTTATATTAGTAATAGTTTTCAAGTTCCACCTTGTGCTAAATCTTTTTATCAAACATCCGATGAAGCTTCGTCTAGTCGGACTAACTGTAATAGTAATTTCCTAAGGATAGATAGTAGTAATTTCCTAAGGATAGATAGTACTAATAGTGGTAATTATCCGTATGTTTGTAATTCTGGAGCATCTGATGTTCGGTTAAAATACATATATTTACTCATTGTTGCTTCACATTATAGCACTTTTAATCATCTTTTGAGTATTAGTTATATCACTTTATGCTTAATATTATATTTTAACTGTGCAGGAATAAAGCGATGCGAAAATAGAAAAATTAAGCAAAATTATGCAAAAAGAAAAAGAGCACGAAATTATAATCGGAAAGAGGATAGAAAAAAAATCTACATGAATGAGACAATTTTGGAGCAACACATGAAATGAAGAAAATTGGAGCACTTAGGATGTTTGTCTACGTGGCATGAAGTGAAGTAAAGTAAATGTGAATTGTTACAATTAAAACAAGGGAGGGGAACATAATGATTGGCTGATGATTGGAGATTAAAGGAGACAAAGAAGAAAGCATAAAATGTTTATAAGAAAAGTTGGAAGTTGGCCGCAGAAAAGAGTTAAATAATTCGCAAAACGCTACTGTATTCTGCACCAAGGCCAGTGCGAGGTGCTGCCAGGACGCTGACTGCGGGGGTTTTCCTACTTTGTTCGGAACTCGGTTATTTGACCCAAGACGCACCCAACTCATATAAAAGCCAACCTAAACATATTTTGGAGTGGATGAACATTTTTTGAGAGGAACTTTTTACCAAGGGAGAGCAGAGAGCCGCCGTGGAGGCCGGGTTTCATCTTTTCTTCAACCAAACTTAGTAATTTTTATGTTTATTTGTATGATTTGTTGTTTGGCTACCATGTCTATGTGGAGCTAAACTTCACGTTCTAGGATTGTGGTTCTTTCATGACTATTGTTATTCGAATATTTGCTTTCTTGATTTATCATATTGGTTTATTTATTCAATCCTACACTTAATTATTTGATATCACCAATTGAATACTATCTACGAATATAGAATTGAACTCGAAAGTGTGAATTCTAGATTGCACATAGGATTGAGTAGAGCAAGTTCTTGCACCTGGGATCGGGGAACGGATTCGCGGTTATGATAGACATATACCTAATTGCCTTGCTTGGTTGATTTACAGGAATGACAAATGAAAAAATTACAAGAAAATACACATGACTTCACACCATAAAAAAAAAGCCCATGTTTTTAAGTTTTACCTGACCTAGCCCATATTGTACATATTTTGAAAACAGTAATTCTTGCAAATTCAAAATCTGTGTTCTTACAACCATTGCTCTAAAAGCTATGGAGTTAAATTTATGTTTTCACAACCATTGCTTTCACTCTCTCTTCTTCTCACATTTTTTACATATGCTTCAAGGGGTTGTCTGCCATTGCTGCTTCTCCCCCTATGTCACCTAGTTGCAATGTAAAAAATTTGTAGAGTAGAAGTCCACCATTGAAGGCCATTCAAAAGCTTTGCTTTCGAAAATAGGACTTTTTGAGTTTGTTAGTTGTTTGGATTGGGTATTGTTCCAATTGATTGAAAATATCAAAAGGAGTTCAAATTTAAATTTGAAGTGATTTGGAGTGGATTTGAACAAGATTTGAGTTAAATTTCAGAAAAGACGCAAGAAAGAAGACGAAGTAAGTTTTTTGTATAATTATGTATAATCTTGTATAATAGTGTATATGAGTGTACAAATAATCTTATACACTTTTATACACTTTTATACACCTTTATACAAGCGTTAGTAGACGAACTTCTTCCACGATTTTCAGTTGCAATTCTTGTTCAAAACCAGTCCAAACCTCCATTAAATGACTTCAAATTTTATATACAACCTCCTTATACTATTTCTAACAAGTCTACATAACACCCACTCCAAATTTCTCACAAAATCAAATTCGGAATTTAAACCCACATATTTAAGCTTCTTAAAAATCTAATTTTCACCACCCAAATGGATTTGTTTGTTGAACTAATATTTGAGTCACAGTTACTGATTCGAAAATTAACTTAAAAGCTTGAGCAATATTTTTTAAAAATTAAATAGTGTTTTTTTGAGAACCTATTAGAGTTGGATGTTGAATCTTAGCCTATTATTTTTGGGCTAGTTGGTTGTAAATTGATATATGGGCTATAATATTGAAAAGTAGGGAGCCTAGTTATTCTTATGTGAAATTTTTCCATTACAAATGCGTTCTTGCTAGTTCTAATTCCATAGACATATAGGCGTTAGGTTAGCTTGAATAGGCGAGTAAGAACTCGACAGATTCTTATGAGCAATATTGACCCTATCAACCAATAAGCTAGATAAATTAGTTAGTCAATTTAATTGAAGAATACAATAGGAATGTTAGATAGTCATAACTCTAGATCGTTTTCATGACATTGATAACATAAAAATCTGCTCTTCCTCTATTCAAAGTTTATTATTTATATTTCTTTATTTAATTAGTTTAGAGTCAAATACGTCTAGGTTTAATTCTTGTTTAGATAATTAGGATAGTCTAATCTAGTTAATAGTTAATCACAAGTCCTTGTGGATTCGACATCCGACTTTTAATCACTTTATTACTTGACGATCGCGTATATTTGCGTGTGCGTTTGGTCGCAACAGCATCCATGCAGCACCCTGTAATGCATCTTAATTAATAGAAGTAGTCTTTTAAACCAAAAAAAAAAAAAAAAGTAAGTCTGCCACGTATTCTGATTCTTTACAATATTCAACTTCTTTAAAAAGTCAAAGTTATATCCCAATATGACCGGCTTCCTTTTAAATATAACATCTTTTTCTACTCGTCTACAAACTAATTGCAGCAATTGTAATGGATCACAGAGGGTATTATAATTTTGAATGTATTGGGCAAATAATTTGAGCAGTGGGAAGGGATTAAGACTTAAGAGTACTCCTGACAAGCAACATAATTTATCTTGACCTATTATTTGTTCATTTTGGCCGACTTGATGATACTTAATTAAATCTCTACTTACATTAATGTTTTCTTTTGATACATAATCTAGTAGGGAAATCTTGAGAGGTAAAGAGGTTGAGCATGCATATAATCTCATAACAAGTCAAAGGATTACTTAAATGAAATCATGGACGTGCAAAAAATGCATGAACAACCTTTTCCATACTTTGGGAGTGCACAAGGAATGTGTGTTGATTTCTGTTGAACTTCCACCTTCTTATGTTTGGATTATAAAACTTTACAAAATAACCTAAAAGGAAACTTCAATATATAACAAACCAATAACGAAAGAAGTCTCTCTTTTGCACCTTCGTTTTGTGCACTTGATATCTTTAAAAACGATTCATGCAACATGTGAACTAAACTTCCTTTTCCACAATATACGAAGGGAGATTATTAGTTGATTATCATGAAATTGCCTTCATCTGAAAGTCGTTTATCCCTTGAATTTCCAGCCGATGCATCAACAAGCGAACAATCTACGTATGATCAAGAGACTACATCCCATTCAACATCAAGCAATGGAGAGATGTTGATGAAGAGAAACTTTTGGAACTCACCACTTGGACTAATTAATCCTACCCTCCTTCGTATGGTTAGCGATCATTAATTACTTGTCACTTTATATAATGATGAATTTAGACGTGCATCTAGCATATAAGCAGTGGATGCACGTGTATTACATATCTGGCGATAAAAAAAAGGTTACAAATTTTATAAAAATGTATTTATATTAGTAAGAGGTGCACACACTGTTTTAAAATTCTAGATCCGTATCCGCGAATTTTACCTTCTAACTAGCAAATAACCCAAGCATAAACTAAAGGGAAATTAAACACAATGAATATTTTTAATGTTGCAGGTTTTTGCAGAAGCATTGGGGACTTTTATGCTAATGTTTTGTATATGTGGGATAATGGCAAGCATGGAAATAATGGGAGTGAGGGTGGGGCTTATGGAATATGCAGCCACAGCAGCACTAACAGTAGTCGTTGTAGTCTTCTCTATAGGCCCTATTTCTGGGGCTCACATTAATCCAGCTGTTACATTAGCTTTTGCAGCCGTTGGTCATTTCCCATGGTCCAAGGTTTGTATCTCAAGCTTTTATTCTTGTGCTCTGTTCCAAGAAAAAAAAAAGTAGCCGGTGCATTAAGCCTTTACTACGTGCGGGATCTGAAGAGAGATTGAACCATATTGGTTTTATGTACGTGACTTTACCTTGTATTTTTGCAAGAGCCTATTTCCGTTGCTTAAACCTATGATCACTTGGTCACATAGCGGCAACCTTTGTCATTGCGCCGAGGCTCCAATCCCTAGTTTGGAAAAGACAAATTAAAAAAAAAAAAGTGGAGAATGGAGAGTAAAGTGGTCTAGTTTTTTCTTTTCCATTCTCTTCCTTGATTTCCAAACATGGTATGTTAATTTTGATTTAAATTTTGATTTTTTAGGTTCTTATTTTCTAAAATCATGAAAACTGTTTTGTTAAGGTTCCATTTTATGTAGTGGCACAAGTGGGAGGTTCTATATTGGCTACATATACAGGGAAATTGGTGTATGGATTAAAAGCAGAATTTGTGATAACAAGACCTCTCCATGGTTGCACTTCAGCATTTTTTGTGGAGCTTTTGGCTACTTTCATTGTTCTCTTCCTAACTGCATCATTGACAAATGATCCTCAATCAGTAAGATCAATTATACTAATAGCGAAAATTCCCTCTAATATTGTTGGATATTGTTTGTAACTTATCCCTATTAATCAAATATTGTATTTTTTTTAGACAGGGCCATTGTCCGGATTTGTTGTTGGAGTGGCCATTGGACTGGCTGTACTAATTTCTGGGTAATTTTCATGAGTAGATCTACATTGCAACGGGGTGCAATCGCATTCACTGCTTTGATTCAAACTTTATATACAATAGAAAATTTTAAAATATCTATTTTGTATAAGTACGTAAAATGAATCAAAATTGTAATTTCCGCGCTTAAGTGATGTAAAATGAAATTGTAACATACACGAAACTTATACATATGTGATGATTTTAATTACTTAATCGAAAAAAAATATCTTATCTTTTTTTAATTTTTTGTGTGATTGCAGGCCTATTTCAGGAGGATCAATGAACCCAGCCAGATCTTTAGGACCGGCAATTGTATCATGGAAGTTTGGTGGATTGTGGATATATGTTGTAGCCCCAGTACTAGGAGCTGTTGCAGGAGTTGTCTTGTATCGACTTTTACGCCTTCAAGGCTGGTCTTGCAAACCTAATTCCACTCCAACAACAACTCATCAACATAATCCCCTTTGACTAAAAATTTTTAGTTTAGTAATATTGGTGGAAATTTTATACACAAAAGATATAGGTTTGATTCTCAGGGTTCTCTTCCTCTTTGCCTCATGTAATAGAAAGTTATTAAAATTTTTGTATACATACCCTAATCAAAACATTCGAAACGACGTGGTTTCTGACAAGCTGTGTTCTTGAATAGTAACATAATTGTACGTTGGTGACCTCAAGAAAGTTGCCCCTAATGGAAAAGGAAGCGCTGAACAGCTTGAGTGCCCTATTGGATAATGTTTGTGCAATTTTGTCTTTTTGCCATTCTTCGTGACAACTCAAAGTAAAATGTACCGGAGAAGTTTTATTTTGAATGAGCCTCAACTATTATGTGGCTGTCACGATCTCAACCCCGGTCGTGATGGCGCCCAACACACTACTAGGCAAGCCCGATCAATTGAATAACCTTAACCATTTTTATACCGTTCATGAATTAATCAACATGGATAAATTACTAAGTCATAATAATGCAAATCTGAAATAGAGTTAAAACATGCGGAAGCCCAAATATAAAACAACTACACAGCCCGAAGAATCCGGTGTCACAAGTCTGAGCCTCTAATACATGAGTGTCAACCTACTACATATCGTTCTCTAGAAATGCGGGAATAAAGCAATAAGATAGAAGGAAGATCAGGACTACGGACGTCAAATGCAGCTACCTTGATATTCCCGGATAAGCTGCTAGGCAGAGAAATCCTCACACAGCCTCAAATGTACCTGGATCTGCACGCAAGGTGCAGGGAGTAATGTGAGTACTCCGACCCAGTGAGTAATAAACATAAATAAAGACTGAGAATAAGAAATCCTGAATAGGCATAAAGCAATTCTATAAATACAGCAACTTGAACCCAGTAGTATAAAATCAGTAAATCAGTGAAAATAATTATGGAAATACCACAACAGAGAAATAAGTAAATGACAATCAAATATGCAATGCAACACATAGACCGGTACTCTCCAGTACCCGTTGCGGCGTGCAGCCCGCTCCATTTATTTATCGTCGACGGCGCTTACTGGGGGTGTGCAGACTCCGGGAGGGGCCCTTTACGGCCCAAGCTCAATAATAAGCCATCTCGTGGCATCAACTAGGCCCTCGGCCTCATATCAATATCAATATCATACTGCTGCGGCGCGCAGCCCGATCCCATGCTCAGTCCAAAATCACATAAGCCTCTCGGGCACAATAATATAGAAATACTCAGCCCAAACTTCATTTGAAAATATTAATTAAGTTTCTAGTTTGAGAAAAGGTGGCTGAGTTTACAAAACAGTATTAATACTAGGACTGAGTTCAACAATATGAAAAATGGTAAGAAACCAGTAGTAGCAATCCCTGAAGGATTCAATCAATTGGCACGAAGCCCAAATATAGCAATCAGCTCAATAATAATGATAATAAGTGAATTTCAGTCAATTACGCAGTATATTCATCTACCGGGACGGACCAAGTCACAATCCCCAACGATGCTCTACCCCACGCTCGCTACCCGGCGTGCAAGTCACTTCAATATAGCACTACGATGTGAAAATACGGGGTTTCAAACCCTCAGAACATCATTTACATCTATTACTCACCTCAAGCCGGCCAAAATCCTAGCTCGCTATGCCCTTGCCTCTCAAATCAACCTCCTCGTGCGTCGAATTTGATCAAAACCATAACGAATACGTCACAATATGCCAATGGAACAATACCCAATCGAAAACAATCGAAAAATGGCAAAAATCTCGAAATTAGCAAAACTCGAGCCCCGGGCCCACGTCTCGAAAATCAGAAAATTTAACATCAACGGGTTCCTTATCTCACCACGAGTCTATACATACAAAGAACACCAAAATCGGAGTCCAAATGACCCCTCCAATCCCAATTTGAAATATTAAAACTCAAGCTCTAGTTCTTCCCCTTTTTGCTCAGTTTCCATGGATTTCAAGGTCAATTTCACAATAAAATCGTGTTTTTAGTTCATAGGACTTACCTCCAATCAATCCCAGTCGATCCACGAAGCCTCTTGGCCTCCCTCTCCTCTCGCTCTCTATGGCGAACTGACTCGATCTCATGAGCGATATCCACCACCTCCTCAAACATAGCACCCAATACTCTCTCTCTAGTCATCAGAATACGGAGATGGTAGTTAAGGCCATCCACAAATCTCCTTATCCTCTCACGATCTGACGGAACCATCCAAATAGCATGACAGGCCAACTGTGAAAATCTCATCTCGTAGTGAGTCACTGTCATATCCCCCTGTGTCAACCACTCAAACTGCCTATGCAGCTCCTCTCTGCGGGACTGAGGTACATATTTCTCCAGAAAAAGAGCTGAGAACTGCTACCAAGTCAGAGGTGATGCACCGACAGGTCTACGCCTCTCAAAGTCCTCCCACCAAGTAAGAGCAGCCCCCGTGAACTGAAAAGTAGTAAATGCCACACCACTGGACTCAAGGATCCCTACCGGCATACGCTGACATCTGTCAAGAAAACCCAAGGCATCCTCGCCCTCAGCCCCACCGAATTTTGGAGGTTGGAGCCTACCAAACCTTTCGAGACGATGCTGCTCATCGTCTGGCATAGCTGGAACCACGAAGCCCTGAACTGGTGCAACCTGCTGAGCTGGAGGTGCCTCTGGTGTCTGTAGTCCCTGCACTACTGCTTAGGTGTGCGAGCAACGGGGGTCTGATTGCCTCCCCCAGCCTGTGAAGTAGCTGCTGCTACTGTGGTGGCTGAAACTGCCTGAGCCAGGCCAGTGCAGACTGTTAATATCTGTGCCAAGGTCTCCTGAAGTCCCGAAATCACGATAGGCACAGCTGGTGCCTGAACAGGTGCTGCTGGAGTATCTACAGCTGGAGCCTGATCCTGAGCTGGGGCTACTGGTGGATCAGCAGGTGCTGCCCCGGCTGCTCTGCCTCTGCCACGACCACGACCGCGTCCACGGCTTCTGGCGGCCTCAGTAGGTGGCACTGGTGGTCGTCCATCACGTCCGGTAGCTCGTGTCCTCACCATCTATGAGAGAATAGAATAATAGAAGTTTAGTTCTCAGTTCAACAAAGCCGCATGACAAGAGTTTCAAGAATGTGAAGTTTTTCTAAAGGTTCGACAGCCTCCCGAGGATAAGTACAGACGTCTCTGTACCGATCCACGAGACTCTACCAACCGGCTCATGACTCGCGAGACCAAGTAACCTAGGCTCTGATACCAACTTGTCACGACCCCAACCCCGGTCGTGATGGCGCCCAACTCACTGCTAGGCAAGCCCGACCAATTGAATAACCTTAACCATTTGTATACCATTCATGAATTAATCAACATGGATAAATTACTAAGTCATAATAATGCAAATCTGAAATAGAGTTAAAACATGCGGAATCCCAAATATAAAACAACTACACCCGAAGAATCCGGTGTCACAAGTCTGAGCCTCTAATACATGTGTGTCAACCTACTACATATCGTTCTCTAGAAATGCGGGAATAAAGCAATAAGATAGAAGGAAGATCAGGACTACGGACGTCAAATGATGCTACCTTGATATTCTCGGATAAGGTGCTAGGCAGAGAAATCCTCACACAGCCTCAGATGTACCTGGATCTGCACGCAAGGTGCTGGGAGTAATGTGAGTACTCCGACCCAGTGAGTAATAAACATAAATAAAGACTGAGAATAAGAAATCTTGAATAGGCACAAAGCAATTCTATAAATACAGCAACTTGAACCCAGTAGTATAAAATCAGTAAATCAGTGAAAACAATTATGGAAATACCACAATAGAGAAATAAGTAAATGACAATCAAATATGCAATGCAGCACATAGACCGGTACTCTCCAGTACCCGGTGCGGCGTGCAGCCCGCTCCATTTGTTTATCGTCGACGGCGCTCACTGGGGGTGTGCAGACTCCGGGAGGGCCCCCTTACGGCCCAAGCGCAATAATAAGCCATCTCGTGGCATCAACTAGGCCCTCGACCTCATATCAATATCAATATCATACTGCTGCGGTGCGCAGCCCGATCCCATGCTCAGTCCAAAATCACATAAGCCTCTCGGGCACAATAATATAGAAATACTCAGCCCAAACTTCATTTGAAAATATTAATTAAGTTTCCAGTTTGAGAAAAGGTGGCTGAGTTTACAAAACAGTCTTAAATACTAGGACTGAGTTCAACAATATGAAAAATGGTAAGAAACCAGTAGTAGCAATCCCTGAAGGATTCAATCAATTAGCACGAAACCCAAATATAGCAATAACCTCAATAATAATGATAATAAGTGAATTTCAGTCAATTACGCAGTATATTCATTTACCGGGACGGACCAAGTCACAATCCCCAACGGTGCTCTACCCCACGCTCGCTACCCGGCGTGCAAGTCACCTCAATATAGCACTACGATGTGCAAATACGGGGTTTCAAACCCTCAGAACATCATTTACATCTATTACTCACCTCAAGCCGGCCAAAATCCTAGCTCGCTATGCCCTTGCCTCTCAAATCGACCTCCTCGTGCGCTGAATCTGATCAAAACCACAACGAATACGTCACAATAAGCCAATGGAACAATACCCAATCGAAAACAATCAAAATAATGGCAAAAATCTCGAAATTAGCAAAACCCGAGCCCTGGGCCCACTTCTCGAAAATTAGAAAATTTAACATCAACGGGTTCCTTATCTCGCCACGAGTCTATACATACAAAGAACACCAAAATCGTAGTCCAAATGACCCCTCCAATCCCAATTTGAAATATTAAAACTCAAGCCCTAGTTCTTCCCCTTTTTGCTAAGTTTCCATGGATTTCAAGGTCAATTTCACAATAAAATCGTGTTTTTAGTTCATATGACTTACCTCCAATCAATCCAGTCGAAACCCTCTTCAATTCCTGTCCAAAAGCTCTCAAAAATGCTCAACAATGGTGAAAATAAGACCTAGCTCACGGAGGAATTGTTTTAAAAACTATTTTGCCCAGTTCTGAATTCCTTCTATGCGAACGAGATAGCCCCCTCGCGTTCGCAATGAACAAATATTCCTCTGACCAAAAAAACCCTTCGCGAACGCGGTGTCCCACACGCGAACGCGATCCTTCAGCTGCTCCAACTACGCGAACGCGATACCCATATCGCGAACGCGAAGAAGAAATAATGAGGGTCCTCAATTCCTCTTACGCGAACGCGAGGCACTGCCCGCGAGCGCGATGAAAAAAAACTCAGGGCCCCAAATCCTTCTACAC